ATTTCTGTGGGGTCCTAAGCCATCAAGTGTTGATAGCTGTCGGAAATTTTAAGACTAAGTACACCTACGCGGTCGACAAAGTTGCGGAAATATGTATGCAAGATGAAGAGTCGTCACGGAAGGCGGTTCACGAAATACGTTAACGTGTTCCATATATGAATATGAATATGGATGTAATATACGTATCCCTTAAGTGACCAGTAGGTCCATACACCCTATCGTAGGGTCCTAGGACCTGCCTAGGGCTTCCACGGGCGATTAATCACCAGTTGGGCCCTTAAGGGGTACCATAGTATACAAACCAGTTACTTTATCATCACATGTCACTCTCCATCTGGTAGAGTGCTGCGCGGTCAAACGTGTCCAACTCAGCGGGCTGGTCGATTTCGAAGGAGAAGTTCGTACAGTACGGAGCCGATATGATTTGTTTTATGATCTGTGCGATACGCGTGTCCACAATATCACACAAATCGTTCTTGTCCATGTGAACATCCTTACGGCTTACACTAATATCATGTTTCATGTCTACCAGCATGGAGCACAGATTTGTTTGTGTGGGCATGTTGCTGTAGACACAGGGGGAATGGCTTAGGTGTGTTGGCTTAGGTGTGTTGGCTTAGGTGTGTTGGCTTAGGTGTGTTGGCTTGGGTGTGTTGGCTTGGGTGTGTTGGATTAGGTGTGTTGGCTTAGTTGTAGTGGCGTAATTATAGTGGCTTCGTTGTATAATCTCCGTAGATTCCCGTGTAGAATATGTGTCGTTTTTTAAGTACGACCACACATATGGCGATGGCAATGTTCCAACATATTAGCATTTTCACTGTGCCCATTCGGGGCTGCGCGTGCGGGGGCTGCGCGTGCGGGGGCTGCGCGTGCGGGGGCTGCGCGTGCGAATCCATGTGTACGAGCACGAAACATCACACGAGAAGCCAATTTAGACACATGGGATTGCTGGAAGTTTTGCCATTGTTTAATAAATAGATGTAATCACCTCTCACACATGTGCACATGCCACCCATCGGAGCACCTGGCACACCCACTGCTGTACATGCACCCCACTGCTGTACATACACCCTACTGCTGTACATACACCCCACTTGTATGTACAGCAGTGGGTTGTATGTACTACCCGTGTTTATTGCGACCGAGGTTATATTTAACGAAGACATGTACGTCAGCGACAGTAGCACGACAATGAGGTTGTCGCGCATTGGTACAATAGCGACAGCGTTCATACGAGCGATGGTGTCGTTGCTGGTGTCGGTCGTGCTGGTGAGTCCACTAATAATAATGATTTTGTAAGAACCGGCTCAACATCTGCTTCCGTGCCTCTGCAACCCCCACCACTACACAAGTTCCCACCACTACCCCAGCCCCAACCACTACGCAAGTTCTCACCAATACGCAAGTTCCCACCACTACGCAAGTTCTCGCCACTACGCAAGTTCTCTCTTCCCGAGAAGTGCATCCACGAGGACATACTCGTTGGCCCAGGGGTCTGAAACGGGATGGTGAGTGCCAGTGCACCGCGGTGCCATCGAGGGGACCCACGGGGTGTTGGGATCGGAGACGACGGTTTCTCCGATTCCCGCAAACTTGATGATCAGTTGAAGTACCTCCGGCGGAAACGAAACAGACCTACGTGTAGCAACCCCAGTTTCCTTCTTGACACCCCCCGTGCTGTTCTTTTTGTCGATGGCCCGCTGTAGAACACAGCAGCAGAAGACCCGTGCGGCATAGGCGCGCTTGTACATGGCCAGGACAAGCTCGGTAGTCGCGTGGTAACAGAGCTCGAGGTGGATACCCGTCCCACCCGGGAACTGTTCGCGGTGTAGAATCCCTTCGGAGAGAGGGTTGGCGCCGTTGGCGACAAGCAACTTGACCAAGCCCATGTTGCAGTTTTTCGCAACACACGGACCGTCCGTGTAGATGTGCTCGCAGGCAGCGGCGTGTGTACCGTCTGGCATTGTTGTGGCATGTTTCCGCACACACAGAAGCGGCGTTGCGTCCTGCTCGACGGTCTGCCAACTTGCCTGGTGCGCGACGTCGAACCTTGTCGCGTACGAGATACGGTTGTACGTCATGTTGAAGTCGATGCGGGAGATGTCAACACCCGCGTTTTCAATTAGCATTTCGGCGACCTCGACGTTGCCGCACGCGGCGAGTTCTTGTACGATCTGTTGGCCGATGAGATCCTCTTCTTCGGGGTCGGAAGCGATGAAGTTGGCACCGGCATGCAACAACTTTCTGACCACGTAACCGGTTCGGTCGACAACCGCATGAGTGGCATCGTCGTAGTGGACACTGGGAGTCATCCGCATGGCCATGAGAAGAGGGTTCTTGAATGCTTCTTGTGTCGAGAGCTGCCGAGTCGTCGTCGGGCTAGCCTTGTTATCCCCGTGGCCGTCTAGCAGGATGTCAATGCTACCAGGGTCATTCTTGGCGATCGCCCGAAAGAGGAGTGTGGCGTTTCCATGCATCGTGAAATCCGCAGGGACTTCCCACTCGGACAACAACATGAGGAGGATTGAAGGAGGCCCCTGCATATTGACGACCCAGGTAGCCAGGGTCTTGGCGTTCTTCATCGCTACTGCCTTGGTAGGCTTTGCAGAGGCGACCCACGAACGCCAGTCTTGCTCGACCTTGCATGCGATGGCGGTCTTCTTGGCGCAGGTCGTAAATGAAAACATCCTACAATCTTCCTTGGCAGCCGACATGAAGTCGTTCCATGCAATGGTCATTGAAGATACCCCTTTGCGTGCCATGATGCGTGGATGGTAGATGAGATTACTGAGAAATCATCCGGTCTGGTTAAATCATGCAATTTTGCTATTTTGGGTAACACGTGTCAACTGAAAATTTTAGTCAACTAAAGGGGTTCCCCTCCATATTTTGATTGGTACTCGAAGGCATCATGTGCTTCGTTGAGGATTTCCAACACATCCAAGTGTGTGTTTCCGTTCTTTTCGTATAGTTCCTGTGCAACTTCTCGAGGGCAGCTCCCTTCGTGTGGTGAAAATATGTCAGCATCGTGATGGAGTAACAGGCGCACTTTCCCAGCGTCGTTAAGTAGGACTGCTTCGTAAAGTGGAGACGTTTCACTGTGTCCCCCGGGAAAGCTCACATAGGGACCAGTTCTACAATTTCGTGATTGAATCTGGTCTATAGCTTTTTGCACACCGTCTATGGTTTCAGTCTTGACTGCTCGCCATACGCTCGTCCAATCTTCACTCATTCCGGAATCCATTTCCTGTTTTCGAGACAATGTCTCGAATAAATCTTAAATATCGCCAAATCTCTGCGGTACCAACACTCGACGTACCTGTTGAATTGTACGACCACATGCGACAAGACAACCACAGAATACCGACCCCCGTGTCATTGTTGATTCCATGATCTTTTATTGTCCCCCATACACTCCTTATGACCACACACCCACTAATACCCACTAATACCCACTAATACCCACTAATACCCACTAATACCCACTCACGTTAGTGAGTGGATGCCCACCCCTAGACTGTAACTACTGTCTCAAACTTTCGGCGCAGTCTTCACGAGGTTCTCAACCCACGTGCGCAACGTATGAGTGTCTTGAACCGTCTTGTCCTCCGCGGCCTTTTCTATCTGTGCGAGACGGTCGTCGATGAGCTTCTGTTCGCTGGAACAGGAGGTGAGACGCTCCATCACCCGCCACGCGTACATGCTCTCCGACTGCCTTGCAGTGGTCACGACGACACTGTGGACGACTTCGCGGCACGTGAGGCAGCAGACTTCGTTCCCAACGTCGAAGTCGTGGATGTACTTCGAACCGTGCGACAACTTGACGATACAGTTGCAGTTACAGTTTGCTACCAGCGCGACAACCCCCTCAATCGCCATGATAGGGAGCTGTGAAACGGGACAGAAATGTTCGCCCCTGGTAAGGCTGCTGTCGAATAGCTGCGTGAAGCGGATTTCGTTGGCCGCTTCTTTGACGTCGTGGAGGGTTTTCCTGTTAATATCACGAAAACCGGCAATCCGGACCTCGTACGCATTCCGGACACCTGTCATATCATATTGGTGGGCTTTCTGCGCCGCAATCTTCGCCTTGGTGACCTCCGTCGCAACGGTGAGAGCCCCCTCCGCCTTTGCCTTCCCGACTGCAGTGGTCACGGCATTGTTCGTCATTGTCTTGGCGAGCTCGTGGGAAGCGCGACTCCTGGCAAGGAAGGTTTCCAGCTGTACGTTTTGTTCATTCACCGCAGCCAACCTCTTGTTGAGGTTCTTGTTGATGTTGGAGTACCTCCGGGATGAGGCCTTGAACCGCTTCGTCGTCTCGAACATGGCATCCTTGGTGCCGGTGGTAGAGAAATTCCCCGAGACGCCGATGGCGTTTGCCATGATGCAATCATCGTCACTCTCGCTGGCCTCTGCGTTGGAAGTGGTCTTGCGCTTGTGATTGGGGGTGGTAGAGACGGGACCCTCAGATGCGACGGCGGGGTCATTGGTCGAAGAATTGCCACACACAGCGCTAGATGGTTGGTCGGGAGGCATGCTACCGATGGCAGACATGCCACCAGGGAGGGTTGAAAACGTGGATGGAGGTACTTTGGTTGGATGAATGGAAGAACGAGAAAGTTCCAAGCTATTTGCAGGGGGGGGCCTGTTCGTTTAGTCAACAAAACAATGCCACCACGTGTTGACACAAAGTTAACACGATATCTAAAAATATAAAACGATATCTAAAAATATAAAACGATATCTAAAAATATAAAACGAAGTCTAAAAATATAAAACGAAATCTAAAGATATAAAACGAGATCTGGGATATAAAACGAGGTATGAGCTAAAATACCCCCACCACTCCATTTGGAATCGGTCAACGCGGGCTCAACACCGCTGGAAAGCATGATAAAAATGCCCCTGGTGGGTCTCGACACCTACCGTGTGAGCAACCCTTCTAAGTACACCGAGATCAACTCTTCCCTGTGTGTGCATTATAACCGCAACCACCCACCGATGCCCCCGCAGCTCAGTTGGTAGAGCGCTCAGCTTTTAACTGAGTGGACGGCAGATCAAGACTGCCCGGGGGTATACCTATTTTCTTTTTGCCAGCGCGCTTCTTTTGCGCGCATTTATAGCCCCACCCGGAACCCACGACCACAAGCTTAAAAGGCTTGCACTCTAAACCAACTGAGCTACAGGGGCGGATAGTACAACCAGTTTGTCGTTACAGTCGTCCCACCCCCACAGCTAGACACACTACCGACTAATAAACCGATATCTCAGATATAAGCGGTCTGTTTTCAGATACGAGAACAGCCGTTACCAGTATGGAATACAAGGCTATACCTAACAAACACCCCGTTACAAGATTCGACATACACTCAGATCTCCCCGAATGCAGGAATAAGACCTTCCATGGACAGATCAGTCTGGGCAACAGTCTGGAACAAACCTCCAGCTTCCGACTGGCAATGGCATTTGTCGTACACATTGCCCAGCTGCACCTTATACTGATGTCCATAAGTATACCGTTTCTCACATGCTCTCCAGATGGTTGCACATTCCCACAAGGAAACCTACGAATGATTTCAGATGGGTTCAAAGCAAACTCGGCTGTCAGCACTGCGATTTGGGCTTCTGGGATTGTGTGGGTGACGGCTATTCGATCCCTGGGCGTGGCCGCCAGTCCAATTTTATACGCGTCAATCGCGCAAATCTGCATCCCATTGGCAACATATTCAGCATTTCTCATACTGCAATATGACATGCTCGAGACGTTCCATGTACTTTTTACGACGGTCTGGGTCGTATCATCGTTTACTCTCCATTTTTGTGTAACATTGCATGGCGACAACAGTCGGAAGATTCTCGCAAAATTCATTTTCACAGGCGGTGCCATTGTCGGGGGGGTGTTTGTGATACTCTTTATTGCCGTGCAAGTTGATGAAAACCAAGTCATAGACAATGTGAAAGAGAATGCGAAACATGGTAATACGGATCTGTTGTCTGTACTCGCAATTCTTGAGGTTTTGGCGGTCTACTCGCTACTATGGCTCGACTTTCTCTTATGTGGCGTGATACTGGACACATATATGGACGGGGTTAGTCTGTTCATGCTTGTGTGTAAGACAGACTCGTTCTTCTACCGGGTTCCCATGCAAATAGGCATTTTGGTATTGTACATACTATTGGTGTTGTTCATTGTGTTGGGGGGTGTAAAATTACTGTAACAGACACATGCCCACACCGTGGTTTTATTGAAACAGACACATCCCCACACCACCCCCGCACCATCCCCGCACCACCCCCGCACCATCCCCACACCACCCCACGCCGCACAGCAGGACTACATAGACACCCCTCGTGTTGCTGTAATCGGCAGACATGTGTGCTGATTTCGTTGTGCCGATTACAACGAAGATGCTGCAAGAGCGGCGAGCTTGCGCTGGTGCTTGGGGCTGCGCGTGTGCCGGGCAAGGTCCCCCCGCATGTGCACGTCGCATGTAGTGCAATACTTGAAGGCACAGTAGACGCCGGCGGCTGCGTGGGTCTTCTTCATGTGGTGGTTGAGGTTGGTCTTGCTGGAGAGATGCTCGTCACAGATGCTGCACTGGTACTTGACCTTGTTGTGGATCGATTCGATGTGCCCTTTCATGTTTGCCCTCTGGGAGAACATCTGGGCGCAAACCGGACACTGGAACGTCTTCTCCGCCTTGATCCTAGCAACAGTCTCAGGCGGGTTGGACGGGTTGACAAGGTCTTCTTCACGTGCGCGCTTCGTCCGAAGCGGTGTAGTAGACGGAGTGGGAAGAGGCGTCGGCAGAACGGGCATGGACACCGGAGGAGTGTGAAGAAGCACCGATGGGACGCGGAGCGGTGCCGGGGAAACGTGAAGGTGTTGCGACAGAGCGTGAAGAGGCATCGACGGGGCAAAAGTGGGCATCGGCGGAGCGAGAAGGGGGGCCGACTGCCGGTTCGTCAGTTCCATGAATACGAGTATGGCGGGCGAGATGGCGGCGGGGTCTTCCAACGAGGTCGTGACGAGGTTGAGCGTTTTGATGGTATCGATGATGCTTGACAAAATCTCGCTGGGAGTCAACTCGGTCACACCATTGCTGGTGTCCGTAGAACGCACGACACCCGCAGGCCAGGGAATCGCGGTGGGTTCGTTGGAAACGACCGGTGCGTAACCAACGCCGTGGGTAGTAGACGTCATGCGAGGATGCACAGTGGCAAGACGGGGGGGAGGTGTGTGGGGGAGGTGTGTGAGAGAGGTCTGTGAGAGAGGTCTGTGAGAGAGGTCTGTGAGGGGGTCTGTGAGGGAGGTTCCGAAGAGCGTGTCACAATTCGTGCCAGGTGATGGATTTGGTAGATTCTCGACACGCTGGGAATATGTGCAGGAAATGTTCGTTCGTCAATTTAGTTCGCCAATTTAGTTCGCCATTTTAGCTTACTACTTTAGTTCGCCAACACGTGGTACCCATATTAAGTCAACAGACCTCACTCACATTGGTTCGCATCTATTGGTCTTGTCCAATTTTGTTCCAAAATTAACACCCATATTTCTTGAGTGTTTTTATTGTCAACACGTGTCACCCAACATTGGTATAGCGGTTTTATTGATTTATGATTGCGTATTCTATAAAGTGACGGAGGACAGGCGTGCCACATAAAGTCATTTGCATGGACACCGCCGCATTATACGGTCTATGGTTCCCCGGCAACGGAGCTTTGGCGATGTTGTTTGACCCAACACATCAATGGTGGTCAACCGCCATACCACTAATCGTGTGCGTCATCGGTGTCAATCTTTTTTTTCGGCATGTTGTAACCGTGGTTTGGTTCGGACTAAAACTACTAATTTCAATTATGATCTATACCCAGATCAAAGAATTAGTCCATAGTTCAGTCGGTACAGATCCAATGGGGATAGAAGCGGCTTTGTTCGGTATAACCAATGAGACACTCCACATGTCAAACATCATAGGCCGTGAGATAGTAAGGTCTAATGTGATGGCTTTATTTACAACAATATGCCCTAGTTGCTTCCCTCTTCCCGTTATACCAGAAGAAGAAGAGATACAATACACAAGTGCACAAGAAGAAGACACATCTTGGATGAGTTGGGCCCGCGCCACCTAACACTTACTACATTACGACCTACGTCTGTGACCCAGAAGATACCTATATTGCTACTTTTTGGAACCCGCAATCTTAGAAGCATTTGCAGCCAGTTGGGCTTTGAGGATGTCTGCCTTGGCGGTAAATTTACGTTTCATTTCCGCAAGTGTCTCCTTTTCCATCCGTAGTTTATTGGCGGCCGTCGTTTCCGGGTGTGGACCATGTCGCATTGGATCCATTCCAAGGCCACCGCCACGGTTTCTATGTGAACCAAGTCCCTGAATAACCGTTGCCATTTCATGAAGTGCCTCCTGTTCCACCGCGTGTTCACGGGCAGGCGTCCGTGTCGGAGATGGAGCGCGTTTCGCTGGAGACGGTGTAAGATCGTTGTCATATTCTTTATAGAAATAAGCACCCTCCTTAGCACCCCCATAGATTCTATAGGGAGGGTCCATACTATGGGCAGGTATACCGAGAAATGGGTTGTGGTCTCCGGCAACCCATTTGGGAGGGTGCCCACGCCACCATGCGCTCAACTTATGTCTATTGTATGCACGTTCATGGGCTTTGGATCCGTCACCGGCGGGTCCAAACAGGGTTTCGTAGTCTTCGACAGACGGAACCCTGTACCCATTCCTACGATCCATTTTAATATTACCAATATACCCATTGGAACATACCGCAGGCTTAAATAATGTCGTTACCAAACCCACTATTCAAACAAAAACGGCTGGTACCTTAGCCACGTCAAGAAACGCCTGTTGCATCGCATCAAGGAATACTTGAATGTCCTGTGCTACTTCTGGACAGTCACTTTTGACGAGTCTAACAATACCCTGCAAATACTCATCCCGACCGATCACAAACTCGGTTACCCCGACAAAGAACTCATCATTGTCACTGGCATCAGGTGGTGATATATGGGTTGTAAGGTACCGAAGTAGGTCACTTTCCAATGGAGTTATAGATCTATCACGACTACTGCTATTACTAACAGTGTCTTCATTGGCATACACCACCCCATGTGACTCGGATCCTTTGACGGTCTTCTGAGGGGATGCCGTTTGCTGTATATCATACCACTCACGGTCTGTCTTGGTCGAGTTGGCAGAAGCAGCAGTTACCGTGTGAACAGACGGCGGCCGCCGTGTGGGCTTTGAAATGAGCTTGTTTGAAACGCCCGTATTAGTAGTGGTAGTATCCAACACATTCGCAGTTTTCTTACGCATGACCTGACGTGAACAATAAGTGTCAACCACCACACTGTACTATGTAAGAGTAAATATCCAACAGACTAAATCCGACAAGTATACACTCTATGTGGGATACGACGGGGGTGGGTATATACCATGAAGCGTCTCGCTGTCCGCATCTTCTCTCGGAGGAGTGTAATCGGGATGCGTAGTTTCTCTACACCAGTGGCAGTCCGTTCACGGTTCACAAACGCAGCATGTAGCCGCATATGTCTGAATATACTCTTTTGGATCCGGAGTGGCATGGTATAATACTTGTTAGAAACTCGTAGTGCCGGAACCTGGTCTTCCACCGTACCTCCATTTAATTGAAACCAGCTACAATAAACTTCCTTCTTTTCCAACATCTTGACAACGGCCCGTGATTTTAGCGGCCAGTGGTCTGACAAATCTTCACCTGCACATACCAAGTGGTTTAGATCTGTATTGATCTCACGCATGTTACGGGAACGTATAACTACCAACACATACACGTAAAACCCGGGGTGAATAATAAGAAATAGGTCCAAGGGCATGTCCTATATGTGTTTCGTTTCATATATTTATTTTAAAATTGATTTTTTAGCCAACCTCTAAATACTGGAATCTTTTAGCTCAACTCTCAAAGATTTTAGCTCAACTCTCTAGCCATCCCACTTTATGAGGGACCCGGATTGTACCGACAGTCCCATACGACACGAAACCAAAACAAGTCCACGAATCCCAAAGTCCACA